AATATTTTATATATTTTTTCTTAAATTTTTACATATAATATGCAAGCAGAAAAACAACATTTATATAAATCGACTTAAACGAGAATTTACTGTATAAAATGCGCACACATTGCGTATACGCAACGTTTTCCATAATTATATAATTACACTTGCAAATCATTTGAATAACATTTAAAACTACATTCATGCATTAGAGCATTCACTGTATTCAATGCGCACATATTGCGTATACGCCATGTTGACGAGTCGATATACAGGACACAAGTCTGCCTGGCGCCAACTGTCTGCGCTTTGTTGTCTAGCAGCCGATACCATCCCCAAAAAATGGAAAAAAAGGAGCTCTGTAATATACACGCGCACAACATGCAGTCACACACACACACACAGATATATTGTATATAGCCTGGCAATGAATTGCATATTGCGGGTCGATCGCATCTAAATGTTAGGCTGACCCACGCTTTCGAGGTCAATAATTAAAATTTAATGCGTGTTTAACCAGTGTTTGTTTGACTTTTATAAGGCCATATATAATATGTAGCTATATATAAATTATACATATCCATACATATGTACATCGAATCGATAGCAACTCAAATTACATAATGGAATTTATTTATGAACACGTTTTGTGTGTGCACAGGAATTTTTAAGGAAGTGTGAATGCATTATACAAGCCAAATCGAATCGAATATATCTGTAGCTATTTCTATATCTCTAATATATATTTCATATTTTCAGCTATTTAACGATGTCCGAATATTGGATTATATCAGCGCCTGGCGACAAGACGTGCCAGCAAACCTTCGACACGATGAACAACTTAACCAGCAAGCAACATAATCTATGCAATAACTACAAGTTCCATATACCCGACTTGAAGGTGAGTAGTACTGTGTAGTATACCCTGTAATTTGAGAGATATACATGCATACTCTTCTTTTAGGTGGGCACACTGGATCAGTTGGTTGGCCTGTCCGATGATCTGGGCAAGTTGGATACGTACGTGGAGCAAATCACGCGCAAGGTGGCCCTGTACTTGGGCGAGGTGCTGGAGGATCAGCGCGATAAGCTGCATGAGAATTTGCTGGCCAACAACAGTAAGTTCTAGCTGTAATATCGATCATATATTTACATACATATCTAGAAATTTATATTAGCTTAGCTTAGATAACAGTTTAGCTGAAACAACTCTCTATATATATTGTTTATTTGATTTAGTTAAGATGTTTTTCTAGCTAATTTTTTTGTGAAACGGAATGCTCAGATATATCAAGAAATATCTAGTCGTATTATTGTCTCTTCTATTACTAACAACAACAACAACTACGTTTAAAGCCCGATTTATACATTAAGTACACCTACCTCCTTTTTATATATACATCCATATATATATATAGCCTGTTCGACTTGAGTATCAGCCAACATTTTGCTAAATACAAAAAGGATACGAGAGTATTATCAATATATATATATATATGCATATATACATACATATATATGTGTATGTATTATGTCTATATATATATCTGTCTTCTGACAATTTGACTAACAGAGCCTCAGCAAATCAAATTTTATATATATCGATACTCGTTTTTTCAGCCAAAAAAATTGATTTTATAACTAAACGATTTTTAGCTGAAATTTAAAGTTTTTTTTATTTTTGTTATATTTTTGTTTTTTCTATTTCTTAATTTTTTAAATATACTTTATTA